GCTGACCACGCCCACTTCCATCATGTGAGGCCAGGGGATCAAAGCTGCACTTTTCTTCATAGCCATCTTTACCTGAAGCTAACTGCTGAGTGCAGCGCGTTGTGACGTCTCCACCTGTTCAGCCTCGAGGTGGCGCCTTTGGAGGCCTCGGCATCCACGTCCTGCGTGCATGTGCACATCACTGTCACGCCAGCAGCACGTGACACCATTGGATGAGTATTTCATACCGTCCACGTTACTGTGACTGACCAATCACAGTGTTTGTGTCATGTGACCTGATTGTGTCTTTGCGTGCAGCATGACTGCAGCTGTGATTGGTTATTAAACACTCTTGTTTGCCCCTCCAGCCGGCGCTGAGCCTGCTGGTGAACTCGTTCACGCCTCCTCGCCATTTTGTTGGGTTTGCCGACGTCACTGTGACGGCTCAGCAGCTTTGTAATCATGTGACTCCGGTCTGAATTAGTTTGAATCATTGTGTTGAAGCGAATTATTGACGATGGAGAGTCTCAGGATTTAAAAGCTGTAACTTCTTCTTTCTGGTCACGTGACGATTTCCTCTTTATTGGAGGTTTTTTCCTTTTTCATTTCTCAGCTTCTGATTTCAAAGCACAAACATGTGAAACTGCAGCTCTTTCATCCAGACTTTTTCCAGGCTGAGCAGCTCCTTGAAAGCCTTTCTCCACATGCTTAACTTGAAGCATATTTAACCTGTGCAGGTAAACACGGGGCCAGCCACGCCCTCCTAATGTAAACTGTAGGACAGAAGAAAGGGCGGCTGGGCGGCGGTCAGGACAAACACGACGAACACCGACCGAGCTTCTTCTCACGTGACAAACGTCTCACTCGCTGCAGAGACAAACACAGCACTGGCTGTTTTAGGGACTTTTTTCAGCGGCGGATTAATACACGTTTAGTGCTTGAATGATAATAAACTACAGCTTATCTCAGCCGAGGATTCTGGGAAACGGCTGTCAGCTGTTTGGTTTGATAGTGAGACGGTTGTTTGGTTACTGCTGACCGCAGACGCTGAGTCACGACTTCTGGACTTTAGTTTTCATGTTCTCGCTCCTCAGAGGAGAAACCCTGATCTGCTGACCGTGTGAGAAACAGCAGAGATCCGTGATTTTAGTCAAATATGGACGCCCAGGACGGACTGAGGCTGTCAGGGCTTCCTGCTCCTCACAGGAAGAGCTGTGACTCTGCAGGTTTCACCGTGTAGCAGGACTGTGTGAGGACGCAGCCTGATCACACCAGCAGCTCATCCTCATCCTCATCCTCATCCTCAGGGCGC